AAATGTAACATACTTATCCATCCAAACAGATAATTATAATAAAATGTAACCTACTTATCCATCCAAACAGATAATTATAAAATTAACATTTATCCATCTGGAAGCTTCTTATTTTTTTATGTTGAAAAATTCTTCATTTATTTACATTATGTAAAAGTAAGCAACATAACTATGAACAAATTAGGTGAAATTCATAGCATTTATTATATATGGCTTTCAATATTTAGAAAAAAAGACCGAAAAATAAGTTTATAAATTCAATTTCAATCTTGATTCGTTTCTTCCAGTGAAACTTACTGTATAGATCACAGTATGTGATGCTTCAGTGGCATAAGGTATTTGATTGGTCAATAGTTGCCACAAGACAATACCAACAGAGTAAACATCGTGATGTGGAGCAGGAAACTGACCACAGAATGCCTCGGGAGCTGTATACCTGACAGTGCCAAACATCCGGGAAACTGTTTTCACAATACCGGTTACGTCAGCACTGTACAGTATCCGGATGGGCACTGCCGACCCAAAATCGGTCAACTTGCATACCCACGACGAAGACACGGTGATGTTCGCTGGTTTAACGTCACGATGGACAATTCCATTCTCATGGCAGTAAGCCACAGCTGAAGAAACTTGAACTGCGATCCTATAGAAATCAAACACTTAAAGTTGATGTCAATGTAAAACGGCGAAGAAAAAATAATAAGTTACATTACACTAAACCAACAGCTCTATATCAAGTACTTGAACTTAAAATGATGAAACACTGCATTGAAAATAAATGTTTGTAACAGCATGTTTCATCTCCACCCCAATGTTTCGTTACTTGATTCCAAGGTGTAATCTACGCAGAATGTCCCACATAGCCATTACGTTTCATGACACTAAAGATGTAGCCTAAGCAGGATTTCCCAAATCACCACCACCACTAGTTATACGCAAGTAATAAAAAAATTAAGCATGATGAAGGGAAGACAAGACCAAAAAGTACAGAAACAAGGCAGGGATGAATACACAATACATACAAAAATTACTAAATAAGTAGCCAAACCTTTCCAATAATAAATTTTACCTACAGCTAAATGTTGAATTCCTCTCAGTTACATGAATTCAGGTTTGAATAAAAGTATTTAAACTGAATAATGCTATATAGTCTTACAGTGGCTAATAACCATAAGCTGGAAATATTGACTCAATGGCCACCTATGTAGGGATTTTTGTATGGTTTTGTGTATTTATCCCTACATCACACTTAATCTTTGCAAATTTTTTTATTACTTGTTTCCTCTCTTTTTTAAACATTTTCATTGAAGTGAGTTGATAAGTGAACATTTATTTTTATAATTCAATGGTAATATATGTGGTTAATATGATATCAGTTTTGTTAGTGTCTCTAATTCTGGATTACATTGATGACCATTGAAACTGGAATGGTTCCTCTATGACAGTACAAGTGCCCTGGAACACTGGACCAACGTTAAGCAGATATTTACTGAACTTTACCCCAACTCACTGCATGTGTATACAATCGATTCCACCATACGCTAGGGTCATGTAGATTAACAAGGAAGGCATCATACATATTCCAGGCCATTTAATGCGACACCACGCAGACACACACACAGCTGACAGGCCGGGTGCCACTGAAAATCTGAGGTAGATCGCTATGTATTGTTTTGATAATTAAAACACTAGTGTTTTTAACCTCAGACATCAATAACATGTACACAGATCTGTCAGTTGCATAAATACTTCATTCCTCGAACATTAACTTCGATTATTCGTTATTAATTATTTTTACTGAAATTGTTTGGGCGGATGTAATATTTGTGCAATGAAGTCACATAAGGTCGTTATACAAGAACAATATGTCCTGTCATCTAGCGACCATAAATGAAACTTATTTATGAAACATTGAAATAATATATGCTTATAAACTGAATTTGCTGCTAAGTAGTAGTTTTCATTTTTTCACCTCCCCCCCAAAAAGTACCTGTGGTAGAAGAACAGAATAGTTTTACTGTTATACAGGCTGTGAAGCACTTGATAATGGAAGTTTGGTACTCAACTAAGGCTATAAGGTTATTTGTAACTTAATATACTTGATAACGAATTGTTTTTATTGAAGTTGCCTTAACGAAAATACTAACCCGTTTCGTTGGTTCCTTTCTAAATAACCAACTGCCGAGTCCAGAACACTTTGGAGGTTCTGATGCCCACCATACTCCATAAGCACCAATCGCCGTTTAAATGGTGTGTCGTATATTTGCAAGGTTTGGATAACATTCGGGTGATGTAAAGAAAGAGCATTTTTCTCTCCGATGTTATGGTGTAAAGGCTGCTGGGTAATTTTAGTTGCTACTCTCGATCCTAAAGTAAAAGTAAACAAAAATGAAAATTAACGAAACTAGAAAAGCTACTTCTGCTATAAGTACACTGGATTTCACTGTTCGTACTAAAACCTGCATAGTTTGTTGGAGACGAGTTCTGGATGTGTTTTCGGTACAGCTTAATGCCACCAAAACCTGCATAGTTTGTTGTAGACGATTTTACTGAGAACACATCCAGCAGCTTAATGCCACCAAAACCTGCATAGTTTGTTGTAGACGAGTTCAGGATGTGTTCTCAGTACAGCTTAATGCCACCAAAACCTGCATAGTTTGTTGTAGACGAGTTCTGGATGTGTTCTCAGTACAGCTTACTGCCACTAAAAACTGCACAGTTTGTTGTAAACGAGTTCTGGATGTGTTCTCAGTACAGGTTACTGCCATGTAGAAGCAGAGATTCAGCTAGGGAGTTTTTACTTTTACTGTTGACCGCTAGTGAGAGTGTGGTTACAAGAGTTGAACATTTGGGGAAGAGTTATCATTGCATAAATAGATATTGTTAAATTGTTGAGATAAAAAAAATTGAAATTTTATATACTAATTTTCAAAAAATTGAGGTTAAGAGACAAGATTTATAAATAGTGAATTAAAACAATAAGGTAAAAGATGATGCGAGACAGATTTTGGAATTTCTTAAAAATATATTGCTTTAAATTCGAGATAGACGTGTTCCTAAATACACAAGACAGATAACAAGAAAGATCAAACCTAACCGGCTTACTACGGAAATAATGTAGAAAAAGATAATACAATAAATTTCAAAAGGTTAACCGATAACAGTACTATAAGAAGACTAACACTGTCTACTTATTTTTATTCTATCTTCTCTGTTGATTGTCTTGGATAGTAGTTCTGGAAAGTCTAATTTTTGCTATATTGTATCCAGGTATCATAACCCATTACACGCCACTCAGAGATACAATTAAAAAAGAAATTAAAAAATACAAAAGGGACTATGAAAAACAGCTGGCTGATATTGCTAAGACTAAAATCAAGGATTTCTTCAAAATGCTAAAAGGTAAACATGTTAGAATGGGATAACAACTGGCTGATATTGTTAAGACTAAAATCAAGGGTTTCAGGATTGAAGAAAAAAAAAATTGTACGCTTCACAAATACATCATTTATTCAAGATGCTTTACTGGCGAATAAATTAGTCGTGAATAAATGATATATTTGTGAAGCGTACAATTTCTTGTTTTTCTTAAATTCTGTAATTATGGAGTTTCATCAAGTACCGATGATTTCAAGTATCAATTATATCAAGAATTTTAAAGGTAAAAATGTTAGGTCGGGATTGACTTAAAGGATGGCATGACTTTTAGGTGTTTTCTGTTTTTACAAAAGAAGATACTAGCAATATTCCTAACACTTAGCATTCTATTGGAAACACTGGAAAATATTACCTGAATCCAGTAAATGTTAAACTCTTGGTGGTTAAAAAAAAATGTGAGAGATTAGAAATGGGTAAAGAGTCAATGTCAGTCAAGATTTTCCCCGGAGTTTTAAAGAACGTCAAATATGGAGTATGTGAGTCTCACTCTTTCATTTCCTGTATGTTAATAACAAAGGCAAGTGATCGAGGGCTAGTGAGCTTCTAATGTTACCTCCATTTAAAATGGGGTGATAAGAGTTGCCCTAGAAGTTATGTTCAATTTTTATTGGGAAAAGTAGAAAGTCTAATAAAATAAACTTTACAAAATCATTTAGTTAAATATGATATCATAGGTTCATCAAAAGGGAAATCTTGTTTTACCCGTTATCTTTTGGTTTATCAAGGACGTTATTCATGGATTTGGTGTACCTAGATGTTGAACGAATTTGCTTTTGGTGTACCTAGATGTTGAACGAATTTGCTTTTGGTGTACCTGTAGATGTTGAACGAATTTGCTTTTGGTGTACCTGTAGATGTTGAACGAATTTGCTTTTGGTGTACCTGTAGATGTTGAACGAATTTGCTTTTGGTGTACCTGTAGATGTTGAACGAATTTGCTATGGGTGTACCTGTAGATGTTGAACGAATTTGCTATGGGTGTACCTGTAGATGTTGAACGAATTTGCTATGGGTGTACCTGTAGATGTTGAACGAATTTGCTATGGGTGTACCTGTAGATGTTGAACGAATTTGCTTTTGGTGTACCTAGATGTTGAACGAATTTGCTTTTGGTGTACCTAGATGTTGAACGAATTTGTTTTTAGCCGCAGCATAGCGGCTCTGAGTTCGTTGATGTTTTTCAAGTACAAACTTTTAGCTCATAGCCCCGTCATCTCCTGACCGACTTGAGATATAATTACAGTTTTGGACTTGCGAGGTCAAACACTTTCGATTGATATATTTGACCATGCCCAAGGTCTTATCGATTAATTTACTCTAATTCTGCCTACAAGAATTTAAATTTGAGGGTAGACTGTTAAAGATCTGAATCGGATATAGGCGCGCCCCACGCTTGATATTGCTGGCGCATAAAAACTTAGCTAATAAAAGGGGGGGGGGAGGTCTCATAGTCATAGATTAATTTACTGTAATTCTGCCTAAAAGGATTTCAAGTGCTGCGGCTATTGAGGATTCCCTCTTGCTATATATAAAAAAATATTAACAAAATCACATAAATAGAGACTGGGAGAAGAAGTTAATTGGATTGTAGGGTGGTTGTATAGAAGAAAGTAAAAGGTTGTTACATTTCGTGGGTCAGGGCTTCAGACTTTGTTTTATCTTATACATAGTAATGATACTGAGGGCATAACAATCAAATTCATAATATTTAACAGAGACCTTAAACTCTGGACGATTTCTAGCTGTACTGAAAATGTTGAGGAACTAGAGAACGACTTGGTACGTTGGAGAATTATTTAGCAAATAGCCTTTAATTATGGTAAGTAAAGCACTTGGGTTATCATAATTTGGATCAAACATTAAATACTAATGGGAACCAACTCAAAGCATGACAGTTTTCATTTCGTAATTAAGGAATCACTGGAAAGAATTCACAGAAGGGCTACTAGGATGATTCTAGGGACGGAAGAGTTATCTCACAAAGGGTTTTCTTGAGAAAATAGGGTAAGAGGTGATCTTTTTGAATATTTCAAGATTATCCAGTAGATTAATAGGAGAAAGACCTATGATGTGAAAATTACGCTCGAGTAAGGCTAGCTAAAAAGCACCGAACCAAATATGCATTTTCACATTAAACATAAATTAAAATAAACCCGTTGATGATACACATTAAAACACAAGATCAGACTATTTACCCACAGATTCAGTTATATGGGTTAATTGACTATATCACAACCTTTGGAACAATAATAAAAAATTAAAAGACCCTTTGGTAAAATAACTGAGTGACTTTGATAAAACCATTTTTAAAGACATTACAAACACGTATAGCAGAATGCACCAAATACTCAAAATACAAAACATACCCTTTAAAGTAAATCACAAAATTCAAAATAACACAAAAGAAGGAGCCCTTTAACATAGATAAAAATAAAATAAAACAAATGCAGATATACCTATAAAATACATTATATACACACACGGATAATCAGCAGAACACATAAAATATATATTTTCACAAGAGTAAGCACGAAATTCATTTGATTCATCTCAATTCCGTCAACAGAAGGCAGTTGAGCGTTAACTTGCTTCAGTGGTGGTATGGATGATGTTGCAAGCCCAGGCCAAGACTTTATTCATCTATGATAGCTTTACACATATCTGGCAAGCTTTTCTAGTCACGCGTTTGGAGTGGTCCTTCTTTCAGTTACGTAGAGTCCACGCCTCAGTCCACTTTGCAGTCGTCTCTTTGCAACACAACTTCAGATTCAGGATTAAGTGACAGTGGTGGGTAGGACTGTTAGCAGGTTGGTCCTCGGTTGCCATTGTGCAATGTCAAATGGCCTCTCTTGAGCACTGTGGCTCAACTGTTGTTTAGTTGGACGCCCCTTCATTCATCTTAAACCTCCTGTCTGCCAATGATGCTGGTGCTGGGGTGATCAGTAATATTTCCACAATTATAGCTCTGAAACCCTTGTATCAACTTAAATGTCTTTCACGGCTTCAGGATGAAACATTCCACCAGAATTGACTGCAAGTATGATGTTGCTTCTGTAAGATGGATAAGGCACTGGATGGGCGACTCACGATATTCAGACAACTGACAGTACTTCTTCATAGGAGCTGGTGAAGGTGTTGAATACATCCTTGGCCTTTTGGGTCGCCTGCATATTTGGTTCTACTAGCAGTATTGCGTCAGGACAACCGATACTATTATATTCATGGTGATCTTGTTGTCTATGTGTTTGTCTTCAGTTAATAGGGCCTGCTTCTACCTTGGGGATTCTTAAGGCTAGTCAAAAAACTGATGCAGTGAGTTCCTACATTTCAGACATCTACAAAAACAATGCATCTTATTCCATGGGCTCTGCTGCATCGAATGTCAAGGCAACACTGGGAGTCTTGGGGTTAGCTTTGTAAGCCAGCTTTTCACCAACTAGGAAGTTCTTGTCTTGTTACTGTTGACTTCATTTCATCGCAGCATCGGAAGAACTTTTGAGACATTAGCACACAAGAATGATTTCCATACTGGTAGAGGTCAGAGGGCATGTCATCACATTTTACTACTGTTTTATGAATGTATGTCAATAATTTGACATCAAATTGTATTTTATTATTCAAATTTTAGTATTATACATTATTTAGTTTCTTAATTTTAAAATTCAAACGTAAATATAAAAAATGTGCTAAATATCTATTTTTCTGTGTCATGTGGTACATCATCTTTTGCTTTTGCTCAAATTTGATGACGCCCACAATAAAACCTTTATAGCTTTTTATAAATAATTCAACTTATCGATATTGGCAAGGTAGAATATAAAATAAGAACCTCCTACGTTTTCTGTTTGCTTAGATATCAATATATTTAGCTGAACCCACCACGGTGGCTCCACCTACCACTTCATCTTTTCAAAATACTTCTTTACTTA